TTTTTTATATACAAATCTTAAAAAATCATTTTTTATTGTAAATAATTATAAAAACGTGCGAAAAATTTTTGTATTGTCACGGTTTTCGCCATTTTTCAACAATTTCTGATAAAAATGCGTAGCATATTCGAATGCCAAAGTTGTAGGGAAATTTTCTCTTTTAGAGTTCTCCGGTGGCACAAAATGTGTAAAGCAAAAATCTAATGTACTGTTAGTTTGGATACCATATTTGAGACGCCATGTTGAATTTTTCAAAAGGCCTCACGGCCTTTTCCCAAAAAAACCCCAATAACTTGATGGGAAGGTTTAAAAATACTGTAGGTATTTATAACATCGGGGACAAAACTCCCTCAAGTGCCAATAAAATACATTAAATTTCGCACTGACTTATAGGCAAAATATTGACCGCTTTGTAAAAAATTCCATGAATTTGCTTTTGAGGTACTTCTTTCCGTTATCAGATTTAAAAAAACTTTTCGCAGGTCACGCTTATATGACCAAATGAGCCTTGCTCATGCTTTGTAGGACAAAGTTGCAAAATAAGACGCAGGCTACTGCAGATGCATGATGATATTCATTGAATTATTTTGCAAAACTATAACTAAATATGGAAGCGAAGGGTGCTATAGACCACATAAGGAAAAATTTCTGTAGAAAAAACGGAAATCTGAATTTTCGCAAATTTTTTAATGAATAACAGAGCCCAACAAAAATATAAAAAAAAAATTTGGTACAGCAATTGTTAAAACTGTTTTTGATAGATTTTTTTTGTGCTGATTACGAAACCGTAAGCATAAAGTTTCCAACAGCTCCAGATTTTGAAAACAAAAAAAGCCAGGTCAAAGTGTCAGAAAACCGCGGTGTTTGCAATATTTTAGAAGCTCTCGCAAAGAAACAAACGGTGATAGAACCTTCCTGGCTTAAATTAAACCTAGATCTCTCGACTACTATCTCTGAAAAGAGATCTTAAATATTTGAGATCTTAAAATGTTTTTTTACGATTATTATCTTAAACAAAATGATGTCAAATTTTTATGCATATTTCCCTCCACAGGGGGGCGGGGGGGTTCGAACCCCCAAAACACCCCCTTCCCTCCTTGCGGCCGGGCCTGGCATACATACATATGTACATATGTCAACAAGTGGCCGAAAATATCTCAAAACTTCAACGCATGAAGACGGTCCTCAACACATAGACAAAATGAAGTCCCCTTCTGAATGCCTTACCTTTTAGAACGTACATATTTACATAGAATTCTACTCATATGGCTGCCGGGTTACGCCGGAATATTGATGGCAATTGCAAAGCTGAAGAACTGACAAGGAAAGGTAGGACCATCCACAACTTTCTGGAAAAGGACACGGTAGATATAGCAATAGCCACTTTGTTTTTGTTGTTATTGTAGCCACTTTCAAGCAGTTTGTTAGAGATCCCACAATTCTAATAGCCCAGGAACGCCGAAGAACTTTTCGCCATGCGAAACTTTCAGGATTACCGGGTATTTCTATAAAAGGAAACACTTACGGCGCACTTCCTAATGTGGAATCAGATCATGTTTTGACCTATGTTACAAGTAGGACCGAATAGAGAAAGTTACCAAAACGAAAAATAAGTTACCAAATTACCAAATTTGATAAATAAAGAAAAAAATTACCAATTTTGGTAAAAAATTACCAAAGCGGCAACGCTGGTTAAGCTGTACGCGTGATATACAATGCCCATTACTGCCTGCTTTAGATTAATTCTTTAGATTTGATTTTTTTGCTAGTCATAACGCTAATAAAAATATTTAATAAATTATTCGGTGAATTACTTTATTAAACAATTTCAGATGAAGGTACAATAATGAAACTTAAATATTTAATGACATAGTCAAGCTAATACAATATAATGGGCGTATTCTTGTTTTCGTACGAATCGAAAATAAGAAAGTTTTGTATAGAAAAGTGATGAAAAATTTCAAATTTTCGATTCATATGAAAACAAGAATATGCCTCAATATGTCACGGTATCCATCGTATTTGTAGGGCTTTAGGAACCCTGCATAAATTAATCACCAATCCTAATAAAGGCTACAAAAGGAGTTAAAACTCGAAAACAAGTGCAAACATGGTGACAGTAACAACATCAACGGAAGTAAGGTCAATTGACACTATTTCGCATAAAATAAAGTCAACAAAGATTTGGAAATAAAGTAATTGTTACTATTTCCTCATTCAATGGAAATAGCGTCAACAATGCTTAAAGTATGTCGACTCAAAGAAAAAAATGTTGATTTTGCATCGTACGTGAGATATGAATGTTGTTACAATAAACATTGCCCCTTAAGTGTTGTTTCAATAGATGAAAGAGGTTATTGCCAAATCCTCAGTGTACTATTAAACAACACGCAATCATGAAAAATTGAAAAATTGAAAAATTTTAAATAACGAATATAATAAAAACACGATGCGAAAAACCAAACGCAAAAAGAGCTGGAATACGAGAAATATTTGAGGAAAGAATGTATGAATGATAAAGAACTTGCAAAACATGTAGTTTTTATATTACTTTTGAATTCAAATATTTAATAAATATAGTAAACTTGATTCAAATACTACAAGTGTATTGCCGCCGCACAGTGGGGCAAAAAAGGTTACTGTGGGCAAATCAATTTTGAGAGTCCAAATATAAACCAATTTCATGCTTCTTTTTTTTTATAAGAGATAATTAAATTTCGCGTCGATCTATCTGTGGTGATTTTTTAAAAAAGCTCTAATTTTTTATTTTTTTATGTTGAAAAATGGAAGAAAGAAAATTTTTACGTTTGAATGCTTCCACTTTTTTGGAAAATACTTGAAATTAATTTCAAATGTCTGCAATTATTTGAAAAATTATTCACAAACATTTTTCCATGGGATATATTTAATTAAAAGATGCATTTCATTTGTTATCTATACTAATATATATTTTGAAAGCCGTTTTTTTCTGTTCGAAAAACTCGAGAACAGCTGTACCTATATTTTTGAAATTTTGGACATCGACTCCAGACTATCCAGGGATGATAATAGATGAAAAGCAATTTCGATATATCAAGGGGCGTGGCACCTCCCATACAAACTGAACTTTTCACACAACATATCTCTGGAAGTATTCATCGTAGAGTGCTGCAACTTAGTACAGAGATATATAATATCAACGCCAAACGCATGGAAAAAATGGGAGTTATTGAAAAACGGGGCGTGGCACCTCCCATACAAACTGAATTTCTCACACCCCATACACATTCTAATGTGTATATCAGTATAGATGACAAATTAAAAACATTTTTTAATTAAATGCATCCTATGGAAAAATGTTTATGAATAATTTTTTAAATAATTGCAGGCATTTGAAATAAATTTCAAGTATTTTCCAAAAAGTTGGAAGCATTCAAACGTAAAATTTTTTTTCTTTCATTTTTCAACATAAATAAATAAAAAACTAGAGCTTTTTTAAAAAAGCGCCACGGATAGATCGACGCGAAATTTAATTATCTCTTATTTAAAAAAAGAAACATGAAATCAATTCATATTTGGGCTCCAAAAATGATTTGTCCACAGCAACCTTTTTTGCCCCACTGTGCGCCGTGTCCAAAAACCCCGGAGGAACACTGAAAGAACTGTTTTTAACCTTTAACTGTGGAGGTGGTGGTAAAATGTACCCCCTCTTTAAATTTTTTTGAATTACTATCCTATGTTGCGCTCCAGCAACTTGGTTCTCTCAGCATCTTCTCATTTCGTTGTCGTTATTGATCAGTTATGTTTTTGCTGTGGAAGGTGTAGCGTGGGCGCTGATGCTGGTGTAAAAATTACCACTCCTCAACGTTTATGCAACTTTTTCTCTCAAGGAAGGTTTACCTGTATTTTTTACAATTGCATTTTTTTAATATGATCTCTTTTATTTCTTTAAATATATATATTTGGCTGTGAAAAGATGCCCCTTAAGCTTTAGATTAATTTTTATTTTACACTTTTTTTATAAGTTTACTATGTGATGTTTTCGTTCTTGTGAATTATAAAAGCCTTGTGAAATAAAAAGGGACTTTTGTTGATTTTAAAAGAAAAAATAAAGTTTTGTATTTATTTTAACTTAAAACTCTAGTAGCTTAGTTTAAAAGAAAAAATAATTATAAAATGGCAAATTCGTATTCAAATTTCTAACTAAAATTCGAAGGGGTAAAATTTACCACCAGGTCACAGACTGTGTCCAAAAAATTCACCTCCATAGTTAAAGGTTAAATTAGCATATTTTGAACGAATTCGGAATGTCTAAGGTGGAAAAGAAACCTTTTGTATAAGGAAACAATTATAGAAAAGGAATTTTATTACACTGTAGTATTCATGCCGCCGCCAAAAATTTGTGACATCATTTAAAAGCAGGTAAGGAGAACGGCACTATTTATTAGATGGCACATTCAAATCACTACCAAAATGCGGGAATAAACAATTATTTAAATTATTTTTATGGAACTGACATCATGTAAGTGGATTGATTGGTTTTCACACACTTTTGAAACAAAAATTATATGATTTTTTTACTGCAGACAAGTTGATGCCAACAAAGCAAAAATCATCCAACAACTTACAAATCGTTACCTTAATATAGAAAGGCCATATTTCACATCGTCGCTGAAATGCAAAAAAAGCCGTAACTAACTAAAATTTGTTAATGCATAAAACAATGTGGTGACTTATAATTCGATGAAAAGCATCATAATCAATCAAAAAGTGAATTTTGAATTTTTAGTTAGTTACGGCTTTTTCTATTTCAGCGACGATATGAGGTAGGGCCTTTCTATATTAAGGTAGCGAAATATAAAAACGGACGGGGCTGCCGCGAAGCTACGCAAATTTAATGCTTGAAAGAGCAACAATGTCAATGGATTTTATTTCGCCTTTGAAAAAGTAATAATGTCTATTGACTTTATTTCGCACCAGTATGCGAAATAGTGTCAATTACCTTACTTCCGATGATCTTGTTACCTGTCACCCAGTAGATAACTATGCAAGTGGATAACTTTTAAAGTCATATTTGTTAATCAACTACATTCATAGAAGCTGCACTACCATGGACTAAACGTTAATAATAATTGTTCAGATATCTTTCAAACAAGTTTCTGCTGCTAAATCCGTAATATCTTCGTGCAATACATCCAAAATAATCAGTAAAAATCCGAGACACAGTTGTGCTTGCAATCTCCCATTAAGTCGCCTAACTGAAATGCGGTTACGAATATGGTGTGCGTGGGTTGACGTTGATCATTTCCGTAGTGCTGAAATTCAAAAGAATACATACAATGTTGAAATGAGTAATATAATACGCTAGCTTATCTAAAAATTAAGACATTCAGTTATGAGGTCTTTTCATTTCATACTAGCGAAAACCGATAAGAGCTCACACTGGAGGGGTAGGTGTTAAAAAAAATTTCAAATTTGTTGATACTAACCTTTTGCTACATTTGATATGTATGAACAGCAGCGCAACGCCAAGAATTAGACAAATTGATCCAACAACAATGTAGGCAATGCCAAGAAATGGATTTTTTCCACCCAGAAGAGACGTTGTCGATAAAATCATTTTTTTGGAACCATCAAATGACGTCACGGGATATTCTAACCACAAAAATACAAAAAGAAAATTAAATATAAATATAAATAACAAAGCTGTGTATATTTTATTATATAATAATATACATACGATAAATAATATTCAGCGTATAAGCGCCCTTCTTCAAACCATTTTGAAAAGTTGCATTGGAATGGTCAACGCGCCGATAAAGTTTACGAAAACTTGGCAATGCTGCCGTACGCATCCAAACAATTAAGTCCTCGTTCTAAAAACAAGTTAAGCACGCACATATGTATGTGTGTGTATGTAATTAGACGTAATGTAATAGATCACAAGATGACAGTAACGAACCTGAAATCCATTGTTGTCGGGATTTTGTGGATCCAATTGCCAAAGCTCCTTTTGCCAAAATTTTGGCTTACTGAAGTTCTTCAAAGCAAGCGTTAAATTGCCTGGTGGATTTCTAAATTTAATTAACTTATCAGATGGCCAAGCAATACCGGTGTTGATCAGGGGCACTTCTACATCGCCGTATTTCAGTGTTAATGTATCTAATTAAATAAAATACAAATAAGAATGTTTATCGAAAATGCCATCAGTAAGGTTTTTACTAACCGTTAAAAAGCGAGTTGGCGATCGCGCCGCAAGGTGCGATAGGTATACTTTGCATATTTTCTTCAACATAAGCGAAGGGAACACAGTCCGTTGATGGATTTGATGATAGTCGGCCCAACAGCTGTTCATCGTCTCGAGATTTCACATAACGCCGATGATTTTGATAGTAATTACTAAGGCCATAGTACATATAGACATCTCCCTGAAAGACAGTTAATAACATAACTCATAATTTGTATTCCAATTCTTCACTTAAATAATTCAACTGTAAAGATAATATATAATATATAATAATATAGTTACACTATGTAATAATGGTGCGCCTAAAGCAGAGGTTCCCAAATGTTTTTTTCTCGTAGACCCCTTTCAAAAATTTACTGGTTTCGGTGGACCCCCTGCTGATACATTTCTAAATATTCCCAAAGCTCGTAAAAAAAGTTAAATGTGAAGATTAGATGTAACTATGTAAATTTGCATCGCGGGTGAAGAGCAAAAACTAAACTCGGAGTGGCCAAAATAAAACTAAAATATTTTCTTTCTTATTATTATTTTTTTATTTCTATTTATTAAATTAATGTGATTACACACTTGCAGGTTTTAAAAAATAGAGCGCCTAAACCCATCAAAATACTCTCTCGCTCTGAAGAGTTATTTTTTTTAAGAGCACTTCGAGCCCTAGCGTTATTTACATTATCCTCACCATAAACTCATCAAATGTTCGGCTCACTCATGACTTTATACGTGCAGTATTTGTAAAATAGTTTATTTGTGTTGATGGCATCATTTTTATTCTTATCGCTCCGAGTTNTATTTGTGTTGATGGCATCATTTTTATTCTTATCGCTCTGAGTTTTATAGGCGACATACACAGTGCGTCTGACTCGCGAGTCATTTGTATACGTGTTGACTCCCTTTCGACTACACACAGTTGAATCATTCAGAGTCATGCCAGGAGTCATGTCGGTCCAAACCGACTCACGAGTCAGACGCACGGTGTATGCCGCCTATAAAAGTGAGGCGGAAAATATGTATCACTCACATTTTTAAAACATGCTTTTTACACCAAACTTTTAATTCGCCGCCTCATCCTCTTCAAGGCAGGATGGGCAAATGGACTTGTAATTTACGCCTATCACAGTCAGGTGTTTGTGCCACGTGAAGTGACCAGTCAGCAGTCCAACAAGTTGTCTGCAGTGTCGTCTGCTCAGTGAGAGCAAAAAACTAGATAGACCCTCTGAGATCGAATAAGAATTTTTGCAAATTCTGTAAGTCGAATTATTTAGGGGAAATCCCAAATTATGCACTTGGTTTTGTTGCTTTGGTTTTTGTTTATTTCAGCGAATCTTTTATTCGGGGAAGTACTTATTTGTTAAGCAAATGCTTTTTTCTTTTTGACTTTTCTTTGTGTAACGTTTATTAAGNTTACGCCTATCACAGTCAGGTGTTTGTGCCACGTGAAGTGACCAGTCAGCAGTCCAACAAGTTGTCTGCAGTGTCGTCTGCTCAGTGAGAGCAAAAAACTAGATAGACCCTCTGAGATCGAATAAGAATTTTTGCAAATTCTGTAAGTCGAATTATTTAGGGGAAATCCCAAATTATGCACTTGGTTTTGTTGCTTTGGTTTTTGTTTATTTCAGCGAATCTTTTATTCGGGGAAGTACTTATTTGTTAAGCAAATGCTTTTTTCTTTTTGACTTTTCTTTGTGTAACGTTTGTTAAGGACAGTATGCAGCTCTCAAGAAAACGGTAAAGAAAAAAATTGCCACTATTTCGTGTGTGTGTGTGTACAAGGAATTTCGACATCTGATACTTCACAGCATGTTGCCTCACTCTTTCCTCAAGAAATAATGGAACCGGCATATATTTCTGTAGCAAACATGGGTTGCCTTGTGCTCTTTTTTCACAAAAAACTTTAGAAACCCGTAGAACTGCGTACTACCTCAAGAAAATTTTTCTTTGCCATTTCTTGTACGTCATTTTATATGGAGTTTTTGCTTTTCTTGAGAACTGTATACTGGCCTTTAATCAGTTAATCTTCGTAGAGTAAAGACTATTAGCATGGCATCTAAACGTGTTTGTCTATTGACGAAATTTAGGCGAATCAAACAAGTTGAGAGTGGGAAAAAGAATAAAGAAGTGGCTGAAAAATATGGCATTCCGGCGAACACGGTTTCCACAATTTAAAAAAATAAAGAGTCAATAATAACGTCGTTCGAATCTGATGCTACTTCTGGACACAACAAAAGAATGAAAAAAACCCAAGGTTTAAAAGTGTGGGCAAAGCTGTATTTGAATGGTTTACGGCAGCTAGAAATCAAAACATGTCAATATACTGGGCATTATTAAAGGGTAAAGCAGGGTCGGCGAACCTTTATACATGTACGTGCCATTATTTGCAAAGAAATATTCAAAATAGCCATGACGTGCCAGAAAGAAATAACGACCGTCCTTGGAGACATTAATTGATACTTAATTCGTACAAGAATTAAAAAAAAAACTAATTAAGCGTCTCTTAAACCTGACGGAAACAAACCTTTTTTTTTTTAATGAATTAATTGAAAGACTACTTTAAAACAAGTGCAATAAGTAAATGTTTCGAATTTTGATACTCTTTTTACTCAAACAAACAATTTGTGTCTTGGAAGTATGAAAAAGCATCTGTGAAGTGCAGAACGCAAGTGTATTCAAAAGAAACATACTGCACACAACTCAAACTGAACATTTGAAAGCACTTTTACATACAGTGGCGAGCAAAACTGTAACATGGTTTAACACTTTTTGTTTCAGCCACCGCTATATTTCCAAGTTCTAACGACTTTCATACTTTTGCTGTATATTCTTGTNCGCATTATGCGTAAGGAACAGTATCTGTTCATATTTCAACAAAATTTGCAAGATGTAGTCGAAAAATGAGAGTTTCTGCTGAAAAATCACCCAAAACATACTGCATATGTTCGCAAAGACTGGATACAAAAGCAAAAATTTGCTAATTTGAAATGACCTCCACAAACCGCGGACATGAATCTCATCGAGATTTTGCGAAATCAACTAAAAGCACAGCTTAATAAGTATCAATGTCCGTAAAATCGAGTACATGAGCTGTGAAACCAAACTAAGGATATACCTCCAGAATTTTTACAAAGATACAAATAAGGTATGCCAAATCACATCCAGGAACTGAAACAGGCAAAAGAGTACTGAACATTGTGTTAGTAGTTCTTTTTTTTCGTGAAAATTGTTAAAAAGCTCTTAAAAATGTATGAGTGCAAAACTGTAACATCTGCCTTAATTTACATTTTTGTCTGCTGGTTTTTTATTGTTGTTGTATTGACTTCAAATCATTATGAGAGAGGGAGTAGGGATGTACCAACAAGAATATACAGCAAAAGTATGAAAGTCGTTAGAACTAGATAGAGAGATTAGAGAGATAGTGGTGGCTGAAATAAAAAGTGTCACACCATGTTACACTTTTTGCTCGTCACTGTATATGGCTATAGTTGAGCGTGCAGAGATGCTTGCTGTTACTTGTTAGTTTCCAGAAGGTTCGGGTTCGAGTCCCAACAGAGGCAACATGTGAAAATGATAATACATTTTTTTTGTGTCTTTTAAATATGAAAAAGGATCTGAGAAGTTCAGAACGAATGCGTATTCAAACGACATATACTGTCTTTGAAGTTGTTTAAGCCAAATGCATTTTAAAGTAGTTAAAAATACATGCCGGAAAAGGCAGTTGACTGCTTCCTAGCCATGTTAAATAAATGAGTTCGTTGCCGGTAAAATAGTGAGAATTTCAATTAGTTATCATTGAAAATAAAGTAGTTTATAAATTACTTTCAAAGTAATTAAATTTCCTGCAGGGAAATGTCTCTGTGTACCTTAGTGGTAAGTGGTAAGGACTCGAATACATAGATAGTCAGATGAAAATATTGTCAGGGTAGTAAATGCCAGCTTCTGCAGACAGCTAATATGTCTGAAATTGAATTTTAATTTTTCTAAATTTTAGTGTTAGCATTTTTTGCTCAAATTTACTGATGATCTTCTGTTGTTGTAGCGGCTACAACAACCCCGCCCAGATCGGTTGGTATCTCAGTCGTTGTCGTCAAGTTCCACTAACGGCAGCCCTAGGAAGCGTGCAGCTTCTGTTGGGTTGGTCCACAAGGACAAAGCCGTTAGGGTTGTCGGGTTTTCCGGGCATGCGAAGAGATGTTTCGAGTCATGTGGGGTCTCTCCGCATGCCGGACACTCATTTGGCACATCCTCATTCAATCTACTCAGGTAGGAGTTTAACCTGCTGCAGTAGCCAGAGCGAAGTTGGGCTATTGTCGTTCGTGTCTCCCGAGGCAGATGAAGCTCCGTCTCGTCTATGTCCGGGGGCGGTATGCCTAGAACGGCATTCACAGGTCTAGAGTCTACATAACTCGAGACTGACTCCCTGTGAATGCCGTTCAGGGCCAGTCGGTAAGCTGACGGGTCCAGAGGTTGCTTGATGAACCTCTGGACTTCGTCCGTCAGTTCATATAGATGCCTCCTGACGTGCCTAGGCGAG